AGAATCTATGAAAAAGTTGCACCTTTGGCCATCCAGTTTCCCTGTCACGTAGATACTATGTGTGCTTGCCATTTTACACTTAGCTGTTGGGACTTTCACGATAGAGGTTGGTGGGCGTCCCTTAGCACCAACCACTACTAGTTTCCCGAGCTTTCTTGTGCCCAGGTTTGTTACAGTGCCAGCAAAGTCCCTCAAACATCTTTGAAAGCTGCCCTTTTTTGGCCTTGAATCCTGATGACTGTACATACCAATCTTGGTACCTCTGTGCTTCACTTAACGTAGGATTCAAATTCAAGAGCTCTGGCCACTGCATCTTGTATAGTAGAGGGGTGTGCATGCTTTACTTGTATCTTCAGTTGTGGACTGTCCATGACTGTTTCCAGCAACTCTAGTGTTTGCCAGACGCCCTCTATTTTTGTATAGAAGCCCGGCAAATATAGCGGAGATATAATAGCAGATAGACAGATATTTGAGTTAAGTGAGCGGTAGTGACCGTAAGTAAAGTGCTTGAATCGTTGTGAATTATAGTGCGTGTTTAAGATAAAGTGACTGTGGAAATTCTGTGTATTGCAAAGTTGTATTGACAAAGAATAAACTAGTTTTATTTAAGAAAATATTTGTATCACTGAAGTTCCTTGGGAAGAATTTTTACGGGAAATTAACGAACGACCAGAGACGTAACAATATGATATTTAAATGAACTAGTATAATAACTATAACAATACGATATTTAATATAAACTACTTAAATTTACTGTAAAGTTTATATTCAAATACTTGCACGCAGATTTTTTATTTGAAAAACGTCATTTGTATTTGTAAACATATTTATATATTTAGTTTAAGACAGATTGGTATCTTCAAAAAGAATATATATTAAATTATAATCAATTATAATCTCCAAGTTTATTTCAATATACTGAAAATACATGGTTTTTTTTTGTTTGGTTGGTTATTTTTCTAAAAGCGTCACTTGTACATCTAGTCTCTAAAATTCTCACGAAGAACGTGAAGTGGTAGTTAATGAAGAGCGTATTTGTAAGGTGGGTGAACTAGAGTGCCACATTATTTTCTGTTGAATTACAACACGAACTGGTTAAATCAATTTCGTATATTAAGGTAAGTAAGAACATTTTTCATACTTGCAGTCCTATTAAATACTTATACGTAATGTCTTTAGGATTATTGTTTAGTTAATTTTGAAACAGCTTCCCCTTCAGTCTCTCCACCCACATTGCCTTTTGTCCTCTTGGTACGGTCCTTCATCACTTTTCTGATCACTTTTCTACATCCCTTGGCCCACTTGGGTACAGTCCGGTTTAGTAGACACGATTTAAATTATAGAGGGGAGGTAGTGTAGTTGTGGGTTGGGACCAAATTTTCGTACCCAAGTGGTTCGCAAAAGTCTCACCGTGTTGTTATTGGCATGTTTTATTATCATCGGAGGAAATGATATTTCCAATGTAGCATTGTGTGGTGGAAACGCGACGTAGTATTTAGTATATTGTGATTACATTATGCTTTTCAACATGGTTATCTAAACGTCTCTGAATATGACTAAATCAGTAAATTGTAAATATTTTATAAGAGTGTTTACACAACCTTAAGGCCTAGGTATGTTTTTACATTTGCAAGGTACTACAACTTACAAGCTTACACAGACGTTAACTTACACTACACTGCTACTGTAAAGTATGCATGCTTTCAGTTGTTAATCTTAGTATGTTCAAGGTATAGTCTTCCAGTTTATTATTAGTTTTAGTTAATAACTCATTGAGGCAGTCAAGAGTTTTCAAATTTAAGTTAAAAGTTATTAGCATAGATTATGAGATATTAATATAAAACCTAAAATGAGACCGTCCTTCAGTTTAACTTTTAGCATCAAGAAAAGTAAGACGTAAGCCTTGTAATTTTAATTTATGGACATGACAATGACATAACTTCTGTAACTATTTTGTAGATTATGATATTAAAAAATTTATAATGCTTGTAACTGTAAGTTGATAATGTAGTTCTTGTGCTTCCCAAATAGTATTGTGGAAGAAAGTGTACAAGTAAAACTATACTAATATTGTATACAGTTAATTTCCATGTTTTAAGGTCTGTTGATTATTGTACTTTGTAGGACTAGGAGTGATTATATAATATTTTAAAATAATAACCTTTATAAAGGCAAGAAAGTGGAAACTAGATTATGAAAAGGAACTTGCTATTTTGTAAACAGTGTAGAGAACAGAAAATTTTATTTATTTATATCTTTGTAATTTGTAAATAAAAATATCACTTACCAGAAGCATCTTGAATGTTTATAGCATTGGTATGGCCATTATTTCAAATTGAGAAAGTTGGTAGACATTATTAACATATTTATTGAACATTTGATTTGTAATGAAGTAATATATGTTAATGTAACACCGAATATAACATACAGCAAACATGGAAACATTTGATTCTTTAAAGTTGTCCTTGCACACCCACTCCTGGGAAAAAAAGTAAATGTTTTTCTGATGGAAGCTTCAATGATGAAAGAGTAAGGTGATTAGATAAGTATTTTAGAGAAGATGTATTCACTTTTTGAAAACAACCATGAACAAAATGAAGCGTAGATGAGATCTACAAATATAATCAAGCTTAGTGAATTACAGATTTACTGAATACAAGACTAAAAGTTTTGATAGTCAAAGATATAGAAGGAGCATTTAAAAGTGGAAGTAGCATGGGTAACAAAGATGTACAACATTTAGAAACTTGTGTCAGAGCTGTGGTACAAATTGAAACCTACATGCACTTCTTGAATTGGTATTTTCTATTGTGGAGCAGTTACACAATGTATTATAGTGGACCAAACAAAAACAGTTTATTAACTATAACAAAAATTCAAAGAAAAACTTTAAACAATTAAATACAAATATAATCACTTACAGAAAAAAAAAGTTATTAAACCAGTGCCTGGCCAGGATAAGGTACAAATATTGATAAATAATACAATATAAATCTCAATGTTATTAATTTCAATAAATATCAAAGGAATTAGGAAAAAGAACTGGAAGAAATAAAAAACCTAATTCATCAAAGAATAATACAATATTCCCAGAAAAAAAAAAACACTTTCCAATATGAAGAACGATATCAAGCAATAATTCTTTCTACCTATGTTTTGTGAAGTAACTCATTTTCAAGATCAAGGAAGGCTTTAGGTCTCATGTGACTTGCTATTACCATAAATCTACCTAATCTTATACAATATTAACATCTGTACATCACAACTATAGGAAGCTTGTGTCAGATTCTTAATACATAAATACTCAAAATCAATGTGCTTTAGATAGAAGGTAGGTGAATTAGTGCTTTTTTTTTTGTAACTAGAAATTCATAGGTGAACTGAATGACAGAAGGAATAATAAATGAATTGCCAACAAAACCATAACATAAAAAGTAGAATTCACTATCTTGCAGTATTGGGTTAAAGAAGAAGGCATGCAAAATGATATATTTGATCTTTGATACAAATAACGTATGAACCAGTACTTAATTCAACTGAAATTGGTTAATTTATAATATTACAAAAACTTTAGTGGCTTTTAAGATAATTGATATACCCTAATGATATTTCAGTAAAAAAAATTAGTAAGACTAAAGGATAAAATCTTATAATATGGAAATTCTGACATGACTTCAGTTAAGGCAGTGTTATTTTTCTGACTAGGGTATAGGGTGACTCCATAAATTGGTGGTGTGCCAGAAATTTGGCTCCACCCATGAAGGGAAAAATCAAGCAGTAGTTCAGGGTCTGCTTTGGTCCTTAGAAGATGGAGGGTTTTAAGATGTTCTATCATGAAATCTGATGCTCTCCTTCAATCAAAATATATTTAAATGAAACTAATATTTATTTCAATATGCTTCTAAACTGTTGAAGAAAATATTAAAGGTCATAACAACAGGAACAAAACTTTTGTGGTAATAGAATAAACCTCTTAAAAAGCAAAATTACTTTTACTCTTTTAGAAAATTTATTTACACTTGTTTCAGTTTTATACTTCGTAAATATGAATTATTGATTAATGCCAATAAATGAAATGCAAATGTCACAAAATTCAAGTCTGTTATCATGAATGTAGAATTTTCACCAGTTGTACATTATAAACCTTTTTGACAATAGATTAAATGAATTATAAATGCTAAGTCTTTCTCTAACATGGAGCTTACAACAGCTGCTCAAAGAATCTGCATTAGGAAGAAAATGTTTTGGAGAAATAAAATGCTACTGTATTGAGCAAAATTGTATACAGATTATTACCTTGGCAAAACCTGATCAATAGTGACATAAAGAGAAGTTCATAGCTGCAATGGGTCAACTTACAGAGCTGAAACATTCTAAAACAGGTTGTGCCTGGTACACAGTTTATTAAAGTCAATGATGCACTTACACAGCCATGTACTGTTGATACTGTGCCACAGTTTTCTGATAAGGTGTTCAGCCTATGGAATAGTTTGCCTTCAGCTGTTGTGGAAAATACATTAATGAAAGAACTTAAGAGGAGTTTTGATGAGTATTGAGACTTGTGTGTACAGAGACACCATCATCCCTTGAAAGTATAATTATCAATGACTTGTTTCTTACTTGATTTTCGTTCTTTCAACAGTTTTAATTACTACAACTAATGTCCCTTTAACTTTCTCTATTAGTCTGTTTTTATTGTGGTTACTGTAGTAAAATGCAAAACATTCAGTTATCAATACGTATGGTAGTTGTTGCCATGTTTCAAAGTCATAGTCTCATAGCAGAGTATTACTGGTAAAAATAGGGGAACTGCACACCTACCTTTCAGAAAAGTAAAAATGTAAACCATTAATTAATTTTCCTGTTAACTTCAAAATTCTGCACATAGAAACCAGACAACCACATCTTAAGGTGACTCATTCCAAAGGCCAACAACCTTGTTAGAAAAAGAAAACTATTATTTGAAGATTACTCTTACCATGCCAAAATTTGTCTCTCCTTGTCCTATTATTTTCATCATAAAGTATGAAAAAATATGATGCATTGACACAATGAATTCCCTTAACAGTTTTAAATGCTTTAATCATATCATGTCTATCTTTTTTTTCAAGAGAAAATTTCAGAGATCTTAACCTGGCTTTGTACAATCAAAATCCTTTTGTAAAGCAGCACTATCCTCTTTATAGCCAGCAACATCCAAAACCTCAATATCATCAACAAATTTAAGTAGTTTATTGACCATTCCTTCATGTACGTTATTGATGTAAATCAAAAGGAATGAGGGTTCCAACACTGAACACATTAATCCAGTTTGATAAAACTCCATCTATAACAACTTTCTTCCTTCCAACCAGTTTTTTTATAAAATGAGTCAACCTATCTTTTACATTTACAGAAATAAGTTTTTAACAAGCTTTTATGTGACATCTTGTCAGATGTTTTCTGAAAATCCAGATACAGCAAATCCACATTCATATACAGAAATAGAAATTTCTTTTTAAAGAATGTCAAAATATTAGTAAAGCTAGATTTTCCCTAGTGAAACCATGTTGATTATCCAACAAAATTTTATACTTTGAACGACTGCAAAGCAATTTTTATCAGACTTTCAAAAACGTTTTTTTTACACCACTGATGTAAGACTAACAGTCTTATAATTACTGTGACAATCTTCATTATCTCCTTTCAAAAGAGAAATGACTATAGCTAGCTCCTAATCATCTGGCACCTGCCCTCTATTCAAAGACTTGCAAAAATAATGGTAAGTGACTCATGTGTATAATTCTTAACCTCCTTTAAAACCCTTGAAGAAATACAACCTGGTCCAAATGTTTTATCGTTCTTTAAGCATCCCTGTTTTTTTTAACAAACTCAGAATTAATGTGATCATTTTGTTTTCATCTACCAACTATTAAGGATGAGAATATCAGTGAAAATCAAAGAAAAAAATAGAATGTAATAACCCAGCCATCTCTTAATCATGAGACAAAAAAAAAGTTATTTTCTCATTACTGAAATACCCTACACCCATCTTAACATTTTACTTACTGTTGATGTTAGTTTTTACATTATCAGCCAACCTTTTGTCATATAATTTTTCGATTTCCTGTTTAACCAA